TTGCAGAGGCTCGCAAGATTTACGGCTGGCGGTGTTGACGGCCTCCAAGTTGACGGTGTTCGACGTGGCTCTGGTCGAGGAATCCAGCGAATACGGCTTGCCTCTGGGTAATGGATCGCTTCGATCTTCGTTTCGCAATCGGCTGGCGGGCGAGAACGCGAGGCAGCTTTCACGAGAAAGGCGAAAGAACGCCTCCGGCAAATGAATTGGCAAGCGTGACCGAACGTTCGCCGCGCGATCCTTTCTCCGCGTTTCGAGGAGCCCTGTTATTATTACTCCGAGCGTGTAACAGTAGTTTAGGGGAATAGGACGACGATGGATGAACGAATGAATGTCATTTCCGATGGTTGACAGGGGATCGTTGCGAGCTGAAGATCGCCTACGAGCACCGGCTGCCGAGGTTCCCAGCCTCGTTGACGGTGGGACCATTCGGCGGCGTTCGCGGCAGAGACTTTTTGTGCGTTCAGTGCCTGGACGGGACGCTCCTGTTCTACGAGCAAGAGGTGTTTGCGTTCGCTCAAGCGACGAGGAATCGATTGCTGGCCGAGCCGATCGTGTACGTCCCGCGATACGATTTGTTCGTCGCCGCCAGCTCCTCCTGGTGTCTCGAGTGTCACAGGCACGTGCTAGCTCGTCGCGGCACCAGAGTCGTGTGACTAACACCAGACTAGTAAGTAAACGACCGAGTAACTAAGATGCTAACTGGCGTGCTGTCGTAGGTACCAAAGCATGGCCGAGTGGTCGAGAAACAAGAAGGAACGGATCGACGCGAACAACGCCAACAACAATCTCGAGCCAGATTCGACGTACAACGTCGGCGAAGCGGTTCTCGGTATCGAGGTTGTCACTCTGAGCAGCTTCGAGGTCGGGATCGTGGTTCTCGGCGAGAGACACCTCTACTGCCTCAGGGACAATTGCACGTCGGTCAAGTACGCCAAGAGGCTGGAGTACAAGCCGCTTTGCTTTCGAGCTTACGTTATCGGTAATTATTGGAAGGTTTAGATCGTTCACGTGCGATGGATCGATTCGACCCGATTCGTACGGCTTTTCAGAGCCGGACGGCAAGTTGATGGTGCTGGTGATCGCCGACACGAGCACTCTGATGATCTACGAGGGTAGCACGCTCAGATGGTCGGCCCAGCTGCCGTTCGCACCCGTCACCGTCGCCAGAGTTCAACTGGAGGTGAGTGCGAGGGATGGACACTTTTTAGACACTTTTAGACACTTTGCGTTTTCAGCACCTGCACGGCGTGATCGTGATCTTGTCGGCGGACGGTCGACTGGAAGCTTGTTATCTGGGCTCGGAGCCGAGCTTGTTCGTCGCGCCGCCGCTTCATCCACGTGGTTACGATTACGCGGCCGCCGAGCGAGAGTTGTCGGAGCTGCGAGCTACCGTGTCGAGCAAGAGCAAACAGACTGGTGAGAAACTCGCGACTGTTGTCCATCCTGCACCATTGACTATTCTTCTTTCACCAGCCACTTTTCCGCGAAACGAACAATTAATCTTTTACTTTGATCACGCTGTCGCGCTCGACTTTTCCATTAACGCGCCGTGTAACCAGAATTCAAATAATCGAATAAGAATTTTAGATACGCCATATTTTGTCTCCCTTGTGGAACACAACAGCTTTTGTATCGAACGATTTAAAAGTTATTCCACGTGTGAATTACCTTGTATAAACTAGGAATACGAGTTGGAACATTTGTTGCCGATCAGTCAGGAAGAAAATTTATTTGAAAGCAATTTTTATAATTTTACCATGTATCAAAGACAGAGCCAACTATTTTAGTAACCACCTCAAATTTAAAAATTTCGAATCTCGCGCTTGACAAAGGAGTGCAAAGGGTTAAAGATAATGAGGATGCTCAAAGAATATTAACATTCCCGCACCAACGACCGATAACCAACGATTCGTTCGACACGCAGAGGATCGAACCAGCGACGCCGGGACGGACGCTGAGTTGATGGTGTCGGTGAACGCGTCGCTCGACTCGGATCGTCCGGAGATCGAGAGGGAGAGCGAGGCCGAGGTCGAGTCGCGACCGATCTGCAACGTGGCGATCGAGCTGTCCTCGTACGCGACTCTCGACGACGTTCAAGTGTGCGTCGACGTTTCGAAACCGCTGCTCGTCACCGACGATTTCTACGCTCTAACGAGTCTCTGTGAGTCGATCTCTCGCGAGGATCGCTCGCCGATCAACGGTGTGAATCAACGGCGAACGATTTTCAGGCGAACGACACGTGACCAAGATTCAAGTGTACCTGGATAGAGATTGGCCAGTTTTCTCGTTGGACGTCTCGGTGACGGTGACCTATCGAACGGACGCGGGTGTTCTGAGAGTGGTGCGAAAGACCAGCCAACTGCCTCTGAAGACCGTGCTGAGAAGCTGCCCTCCGGACAGCTCGGCCTCTTTTGTCACCGTGGTGAAGAGCGACGCTCCTCCGCTTGCCTTCACCCAGCTCTTTCCCGGTAGAAGACGCGTTTCTTCTTTTTTCAAAAGACAGAAGAAAATCTCTCAAGCGTCGTTTCGTTTTTTTTTTTTTTTTTTTTTTCAGAATTCAGCGCGGACCAGTGTCAGAGGCAAGGATGGAACGCGCTGGGGTTGCGGCAGGTGCACACTGGCCAGAAGGTGACGGTGGTGTCTGGGAATCGGTATCGAGTGCAGTCCAACGACGGCTCGTTCTCCGTGCTGGTGGTTCGTCGACTGATGGACAGATGGAGGGGCAAGAGCGAGGGGAAAGCGACGGTCGAGGCGTCGAGCGTCGGGCAGAATCACATGCGATCGGTGCATCGACGGATAGACGAGCATTTCGCGGCTCGGCGAGAGATCGACAGGATAACGGTTGGTTATAATCGCACGACAACGATTACAAGCTGGCAATTACATCTGTATTTATATAATCTCACTTGTATATCTGTCGAGGACAACAGAACGAGATCGGGCTGCTGACCAGCCAGCTGAGGAACGTGGAGAGAAGGATGCTGCGAGCCGCGAGGGAAAGAAACGAGGGGTCTCTGGCCGACACCGGCTTGCCGTTTCTTTTCGATCGCACCTGTCGCGCGATCTTTGCCCTCCTCGAGGATCTCGCGAAAGCGCGAACTGTGAGTAAGCGTGAGACAGACTTTGACACGTACCGCGCATAGTATGGTTATATATCTAACTCCTTTCAATAAATACATTGCAAGATTTTACAAAAAACTACAACAATCTTTGTTTCGGTTGATTCTCAACGACTGAGACGATAATATACATATATATTTTCCGCTATTTTATTTTCTTCTTCCCCGAGGACGATGACGAATTTTTCGTATATTGAAATAATCAAAATACTAAATTGCAATACGTGAAACCAGTGTTATTTATTTGCTCGTATTTCGTATATTGAATTCTTAGTGCACATACCAAAAAAAAAAAAAAAAAAAAAAAAAATTGAACAGTAATTTTAAACTTTATTTCACAATATATGTCGAATAATCTAGTAAAGTATAATCCGTCTTTTTCTGTTATGTTTTCTACACACTGCACAATTGCATCTTTTTGAGATTAATTTATCACCACACCTTTCATTTTATCAAATGGGTATCATATGAAATAATTACGTCTCAACAATATACGACAAACTGTTGAAGATGTAACTCTTGAATTAGAATTTACTTACGTCCGATGCAAGTGAAGTTTGCTGCAATGATGTCGATAACATTTGTAATAACATGTCTTTAGTTTAACTCGAGCAATGTGAAGTAAGCGCCAACAATATCTCGAGAGCAAATTTTAAAAGTGCCAACCGTAACTAAAAGATTTATTTCGTAATATGTCGAATAATCTATTAGAGCGCGATGCAATTCGAAATACGAGTCAATATATAGTCCTACATTACATGTCTTGAATTGGAGTTCACTTGGGTCCGATCCAAGTGAAGTTTGCTGCAATTGTCGATAACATTCGATGGACACTTTAGTTTAGACTCGAGCAACGTGAAGTTGGCGTTTTTCGTTTTAGCGGACCAAAGTATATCGAGCATCTTTAGGCGCTAGCAGTAGTCGAGAGGTTCAGCTTTATTTCACAATATATCGAATAATCTAATAAATAAACACGAGTCAATACAGAATCCTACATTACGTTTTTTGAATTGGAGTTCACTTAGGTCCGATCCAAGTGAAGTTTGCTGCAATTATTATCAATAACATTCGCCGGACACTTTAGTTTAGACTCGAGCAACGTGAAGTTGGCGTTTTTCGTTTTAGCGGACCAAAGTATATCGAGCATCTTTAGGCGCTAGCAGTAGTCGAGAGGTTCAGCTTTATTTCACAATATATCGAATAATCCAATAAATAAACACGAGTCAATACAGAAATCCTACATTACATTTCTTGAATTGGAGTTCACTTAGGTCCGATCCAAGTGAAGTTTGCTGCAATTGTTGTCGATAACATTCGCTTATATATAGACGCTTTTAGTTTGACTCGAGCAACGAGTAAAGTTTCTGGTTTTAGCGTATGCGAGGTAAATTGAGCGCACCAACAACAGTATCTGCAGAGAGGAAATTTGAAAATGTGAATGTCGCAGGTGCGAGAACGAGCGGGCCACGAGCTTCGATGCTCGGTGGAGTTGTTGCTGCTCGTGACGACGAGGTGGAACGCGAGCGACGACGAGAGGTACGAGGCACTGCGGGCAGCGATCGGCTTCGAGCCTCGTGCGTCCGATCGACTGGTGAGTAAGGACTGATTGCGAGAGAGACGCATCGTCGTTTGCATCGTAATGGTACGGCGATGGCGCAATGTCGAGATTGCAGGATTGGGAGGAGATGGCCGATGCGGCGCTGGCAGCTTTGCTCAAGTCCACCTCGAGGAAGTCCGCGACCAGCTCGGAGACGATGAGCTCGCCCGCGTGGAACGCGCTCACCCCTATCGCCTCGAGCAGGGAGCTGAGCAAGCTGAAGACGCGGCTGGCGCACGCGATTGGCCGACTGGCGGGCGCCAGGGAATCCGACATCGCCGAGATGGAGGCCAACGATGGCAACGAGCACGTCGTCGAGTTATCCGCTTAACGATCTTCAAAATCTTCTTCCTCTGCACGAAATGTCGTTCGATGGAAATCGATCGGACCGTGGCTACCGAGATATGTAATATATCCTCGATCGGCGCCGCTCGACGAATCGCCACGCCGCGTCACGCCACGCCGCGATGATTCATTCTGGCGCCGCGATTCTGCTTTCCCGGCTCGTTAATTAACGAGAGAATCGCGCGGGTCGAAAGACCGGTCGCCTCGTCTCGCCTCGATTGCACGACAATGCGCGTTTTGTTCGGCGGTTTCGCGGCCGGTGGCTCGAGGCACACGGTGCAACGTGTTACGGGAAACGTTCGCGTTCGCAAGCAGACGGATCGGATCGAACACGACCAAGCGTTTGTTTCTCGTGGCAGACTCGTTTACGTCGCGATAACCGAGCTGCCGGTCGAGGACGTTTCGAGGAAGCAGCGTTCGCGGTCGGAAGCGGCTCTTCAGTGGAAAAAGACCCTATCCTCGCGATGAGACATCGAGCGACTGATAGATCTACATTCTTTCCGAGTCTTTTCTCGATCGTTTGACTGTTTCTATTCCTCTGTCGTGGCAAATGAAGTGAGTCACGAACAACTCATCTTTCTGCTTTGACTCATAGATTAACCCCTTATCTTTCAGTTTTGTTGCCAATAATAATCCTAGTATTTCAAGTGTTTTAGTTTGAAATTTACTTCAAAGGACAGTCCCTTCACTTCAGTTCCTTATTTCAAACAATTTTTTTTTTTTTTTTT